CTTTTCTTTTGGAAAGATGGGTGCAGGGGAATGTTCTGCCTGGCTGTAACACAGAAAGCAGGCAGGACTGTAGGAAAGGGATCCTTTAAAGTGGTTTAAAGAAGTGAGTTCCACCCATTTCAAAGAGCAGTTCCAACCCTAAATCACTTTGCCAATTTCTCCTACCTTGCAATATTCCTTTCCTCCTCCTTCATGTTTTATGGAAGAAACAAAAAAAAAAAACGAAATTAACGTAAGGACTATATGCAAGTAGAGTCCCTGCAATTTCATCAGGGATTTCTCTGTCAATATGTGTCATGCCTCTGGCCTGTGCTTGCCCTGAACAGGTGAATTGCATACATAATTACTCTGAAACATTCCAGATGCACTGGATTTACTACTCACACAGAGATTTCAGAAGCCCTTTTCACTATTGCTGTACCCGCAGCAATGAGGAAGAAACCACTCTCCTGTGGGTGTCAGAACCTCTTAGAGTTGAGCAATTAGGACATAAATAAAGGCAAACATGTTGAGTTCCCTCCCAGGTGTCAGCTTCAGACAGTGATGGATGGAAAGAGTAATCAGATAATGTAAGGCAGGGACATGAGCTGATTTGTCCAGGTGCTGGAAACACATCTAGATAAGATTCTCTGGACATCCAACAGCTCTTGTCAGAGCTGAAACTCCTGCTGAGCTGCTACACAGATGTGAAATCCCCAACTTCTACTCCAGTAAAATTTATAGATGGAAAAAAGGGGTATGTCTGCAGAAAACCAGATGGATGGTAAACTTTCTTATACTTGTGCCACAAGTACTTCATAAAGCATTTTGACTTCTGTACAAATTCTGACTTTTTAATTTTACATTTTACACAGTCTTCCCCTTAGGCTGTGACCCCTGACTTCCAGAATCCATTCAAAGACCCTCTTCATCCTGCAATATCCTGAAAAGTCCACTTGAAGCCATTTGTGTGCTTTTCCATGCCTGAAGCTCTTGCTCTACAAGGCAGGAGGGCACCAGTCAGACCTGGTGACAGACAAGGGGACAAAGCACGTTCTCCTCCCAGCAGGACAAGCTTCCTCCTCACCCCGTGGAGCTGCTCCTGCCCAAACCATGGTCCTGCACCCAAGACTGGCATCTAGTGGCAAATGCAAGTGCCCTCTCCTTCTCTGGCAGAGCACTGAACCACTGACCCAGCAGCAAAGGGCACTGTGTGTTCAGCACTTGTGCTCAGAGTGGCAGCTGCTGGGACTGAATGCTTGGCAGAAAAAAAAACATTTTATCCCCTTCTTCCCACAACTATTTCATCCCTGACTATACACAGGTGCTTTTAAATGAGTAAATCTATTGAAAAAAAAAATAAAAGCTATTTCCTTCTATTATTTTCAGTGAAAGAACTCCCTTCCTTTAAGTATGGTCACCACGTTTAATTTTATACTGTCACTGTAAGAAAGTTACTGCAAAATCTAATTTAAAGTATATTTTTTGGACAGCACAGTAATGTTCTGGTTTTGTTACTGAATAAAATAACTAGTAGCAGGGTTTTTCTTAGGAGCTCTTTAATGCTTCATTACTAACCATCCAATTTATTTCACATAAGGGAAAATACATTTTCTTCTGGAAATTTGCAGTGAATTTCAGGGCAAAGTCAATTCCAACAAAACTGATTTAGCAATACCCACAGGTGATGGCATGAACTCTATTTAAGGCAAGGAAATTGCCTTTCAAACACTTGGCAAGAATTCCGAAAGCTTCAGAGCAGTGAGTATGCTGAGTTAACAGAGGAAATACTCGGTAATTAACAACTAAATCTCAAAAATTAAGACTTTTCAGATCTTCAGGTCAAAACATGAAGCTCTGTCTTTTGGGGGATGAATCACATGGCCACTCACTGAGTGCAATGTTTGCCACATGTAACTAAGTCACTGAAAGATCATCAAATTAATGCAAAACCACAATGAAATATTTTCTAACCTTGTACTTAATAAATAGAGTAAACATCACAGAAAGTTAATTTAAAGATTTTCAACCAAGAAAATACTTAATTTTGATAAAGTTAGGGGGGAGCTTGGGTGTTGGAGTTTTGGATTTTCTTTTTAACTTTAGAGGTTGCAGTTGAAGATAAAATGCATATAGTTTAAAACTTGAACTTACAAAAAGAGTGACAATCATTTTTATATCTTTTCAACCACATGTCATTAGACTTTCTTTTATGACTTTTGGCTCTCCAGGTCAAACTTTATATTTTCCAAAGGGAAAATAATTTCAACCATTTCTAAAAAGATGATCTGTCCCATGGAGCAAAACCCACTTTCCATGAGGGCAGGCATTTATTTCACATACATATATATAAAAGGCAATTTTAATATTATGTAAATACTCATTTATCTATCTATACAGGTACCTAATTTTGTTACAAGCAGGTTTATGAGTTTGGGAAGGAACCACCACACAGGAAAGGAGATCTGTATGAAAGCACTGTGGTCATGAAAGTATGCTCCACAAATATGGCATTTCTGAAACATCTGACAAACCTCCACCACATCACAGCACTGAAACTTCTCCTACTCTCAATCTCTTCATATTACAAAATGAATAAGCTTTTCTAGGCAAGCCTTGTGAAGTTCACAAGTAGGAGCACAACCTCCTGAGGACTCTCAGAAAACAAAAACAATGTCTGGAAAAAGCAGTCTTAGGATATATCTCCAACTACCATATTTAAAGCTCAGGCCAATGGAAATATTTCTGTGGACGATAAATACATTTCTTAAAAAAAACATTGCCATGGATATTGTCACACTATGTAACAGATTTTTTTGAAGTATCATTTCCTAAAAAATAAAAAGCGCATTGATTTTTGCTTTATGCTCAGACACAGAAAGAGCACAAAGCAACAGGACAATTAGACAAAATGATGGATTTGAACACATGCTGCATTTTACTGTTAACATGTATGCATAACTTCCATTAATGTCAGCATGAGTTATGTGTGCACTGCTATAATAATATGACCATAGCAAAAAAATTTCCTCCAGAACTAATATAGTAATATTTTTAATAGACATTTCAAAAAAAAAAAATTTGGAAATTGACATGAAACTGCAACTTCTTCTTAAAACTTATACCTTCAAATTCTTTAAAATAAACCTTATTTTTTTTCACAATTTGGCATCAAGTTAAGAAATAACTGATTTTATCAAATTACCTTTCATTTAATGGGTACTTATCTTGTTTACAGTTCATAAAAACCAACCAGATAAGAGCAAGACTAGTTTGCTCTCCATTTTTTTTCTAATATTTCGTAAATAACCAAATTTATATGGGCACAAGAAATGACAATTGAAGAAGTTTTCTAAAACAGACAACTGATTGTGGCCAGTAAATTAAGATGCATCTTGACAATGACAGCCAGATGGGCCCAGAATGCAGAGTTATGGTTGGAACTTGATCATAACAGAAGCATAGGAAATCATCATGAACGTTCTTAAACACACACTTCATGCCTATTTAACTGGAAACTCATAGCCAAAAACTGGAATCACTGGATATTGATTTTTTTAAACAACGAATAGAAATTATTGGTCAATTATTCCAATTAATAAGTTACCTTAAAAAACAAATAGGCTCTTTGCTACTGAGTCTTTCACTTCTAATACCACTCACCCAGCCCTCCATTCATAAAATACAACAGCTTTTGTCAAAACAAGTTCTACATCACCAGTTTTTGCCAATCTTGTTTTCCAGATTGTTCTGTGAGGTTTTGTGTACCAAATTTTAAAAGTCACATGAACTGAATTAGAATTTTTCCTCTATTTTTTTAAGCAATTATTAATTATGATTTTTAAAGAATAAAAATCTTATGATTAGGACAAAAGAGAAGGCACTTGAGGAAACAGACCAAAGCACTATACAGAAAATAGATAATGGGCACTGAGCATCTGAGTTATGATGGGACAATTAATATGTACATATAACTTATTTTTTTTTAAATCTTTTTTAATGTATCTATTATAAAATACAATGCCACATAGTATTCTAATTCTAATTCCATTTTTCTGTATGGATGTAGATCTCATTAAAGTCAAAACCAAAAATTCTTTAGATAACTCTGGAAACATTTGTGCTTCCATTACACTGAATTTCTGCACCTGTATTACCTGGCAGACATTCTTAAAATCCACTTTTATAAAACCTTGCTATGTGACTCCATTTCCACTTTGCCTTATTTACAATAACATTATGAAAACCATTCTTTCTGATTATTTCCCTTCCTTTAAAATCAAGGATAACTCTAAAAATTGACCTGAAGTTATATATGGCTTCCACTCTCAAAAAAACTGTTTCAAAATTACAACTGTGAATTTTCTTTGTCGAATGTTAACTACCTAATTATCAGCCTAGCCAAGTCATAGCAGGTTCATCCTTTTTTGCCAATTTTAAAGATAATTTCTGAGCTTTAATGCCCCATAATTATTCTATCTAAAAAACAGATACTTTTTTTTCTTTCCATGGAGGAATTTAGATTTAAATTATATGTCTCTCTTCCTTTTTCATTCTGAACACATACACAGCAGTAAACAGTATGTAAAAATTCTTTGTTAGTTTGGGAGTGTTTTTAACCAATTCAAAGCAACAAGCTTTGCACCATGAATAGAAAATGAATAACTCCCTTCCCTTGCATGTGACACTAGCAGAGATTCCAGCACTGCATTCCCACTGAGAGATGGGGCTTCAGATTTTCAGTTTCTCACAGAAATTATACAGTACTGATACTTTTACTTGCACGCAACAAAGGACAACTTACAAAAATGTTGAGTACTTCTAAAATCAAGACTTTTGCACTTCTGTGCTTGCAAAGGAATTTAAGTGTCTTAAAACTATTAGAAGTCCTTAGATTGAGATTTAAATATATGCAGAGAAAAGCCAAAACATCGAAAGAAACCCCTCAAAACTTTCTCTTATGACAAAAGCAGTTATTTTCTTTTTTTTCCCCTAGAAATTAGAGAAATCAAGATGCTTACTTCATTTCTAGAATTTCTTCAAGCTGTTTCCTTCGCTCTATTCTCAGGTTAGCCAGATGTGCTTCTTTTTCAGCCAGAGACTGCTGTGTTGAGGCAAGACGGGCTTTGGTAGAATCTAATTCTTGTCTGGTCTTCTCCAGTGCATTCATCAGCTCTTCTACCTGAGAGAGAGGACATTTTCAACTCCATATTCTTCACAAGAAGAAAATATTAAATTCATATAAATACAGGGAGGGGAAAAACACACTAAAGGAATTATTTTCTGTAAATGGCTGCTCAAATCGCTTTCCACCATCATAACTGTTTTAAAAACTGACAGTAGTGTTTCAAAACCAAAAAAAACCCTAAAAGTTTCCGTGAATCCATTAGCAATAAACAATATTTATACAAAATAGAGCTAACACCAGAAACCTATTTAACCTGGGCCACTGCCACATACAGATACCATTTATAAATATGTCCTGCACCATTTTTATTATTTAAATTCAGGGTGGTGGTAACTCATCATAGACGTTATTTCAGAAATTGTAAATGTAGCTATGGATGCATGTTTTGATATAAAAGTGTTAATGAAAGTCCAACATTTTTCATGAAGAATGCACACCTTTGCAAAACAGGTTGCCCAGGGAAATTCTAAACTCTCCAGTACTTTAAGTATTTTAAGTATTTTAAGATTTTGATTGAATGAAGCCTGGAGAATCTGATCCAAATTTGAAGCTATTTCTGCTCTGAGTACAGGTTTATAGTGCATTGCCTCTAGTGGTCCCTTCTAATCAAATTATTCTGTCATCCTGAACTTTAAAGGTCTGTAACTGCTCTAATAACAATTAAGTTCTTTTCCTCCTGATAACTGTGAGAAGCTCTGAAGCATGAAGTGCAGGAAAGTTGTGGTGATCCCATTTTGACATAGTGTGGAGAAACCTCATAGAGAAATTTAAAGAATGGAGACAATATAATGACACCTGTCTGGCAGCAGCAGCTTTATTTGTGGGGTGAAGCATATTCTATGAATGGCCTCCAGTAACCAGTATGACAGTGGGATTCGCCCCTCTTCAAATGATACAGTTTACATAAAGTGAAATAGGTTGTTTTTAGTGAGACATAATGATTTGAATAATGAATGTCCTATTTCCTGTATGTTCTTTCTCACCTCCTTTGTCCAAATATCATTATTTTATAAACTAGAAAACACTTCAGGAAGAACATAAAAATGAAATAAAATGGGAAATATTATATATTCCCTTCATCCCTGTTAAGCAAAGCATTTAAACAGTTCATTTTTGCTGTGAATTGAGAAGCCTGACCAAATTCCACAGCGCTCATATCATCAGTGTGGCTACTTCTCCCAAGCTCATGCTCAACTGTTGTTCTCTAAAGCCTCCTAGCAGGCAATCAGTGCTTATAAGCCATTTTTGTTTCAATTCCAATATAGATGGGCTTCTATATAAAAAGTTCAATAAATAATACAAACAAACAATAGAGTTATCATGAATTATAATGAGGACTCACAGCCCATTTGCCAATGCTACACTGATTACTCCTTCCACACCCCCTCAACAAACACTCTAAATCAGATCAATTAAATACTAGAATATGTCTGATATGAATGCAGATCACAATTACCAACAGTATTGAAACTACTGATGTTCAACCTTCCACTCAGAATGTAAAAGCAGTCTAATGGTGATATCAATGAAACAGCAAGGAGAGCAACTCAGGGGACTCTGCAGATGCAGGATTCCACTGAAGAAAGCAAGAAGAAAGATGATGACTTGAGACACCTTCGTAGAAATGACTGTCTAGTGAATGTTCTTAGAAGCAGTAAAGAGAACATCTACTTGAGGGAAATAAAGAAATAAAAAAATTGGGATTGCACTTAAATCCCATGAAAAAAAAAAAAAAGAAATAACAGGCCAGAAGGAAAGAGATCATATTTCTTTAAAAACAGATTCAAATTCTAATATAACACCAGGTACTTTATATTCTGCTTTAGTGCAAGAACATAGACCCATGCTGTCTCCAACAATGACAAGACTCAACTACTAAAACACAGGACATTTCTAACTGTTTTATGGGTTATTTCTTAGACTTTTCCTTGTACCATTTAAAAACTGCATCTAGTTTCTGCTGAGCATCCACCCTATCACTTAATTCCAGAAAACAGAGCTTATTGAAAACTGTAGTAGGATCAGAACAGGAAAGTCATTAATTCAAACAGACTCCAGCTTTGAGACAGTATCTTTAAACACCAAGACACTCCCCACTTGCAGATTTGTTGGGCAAATGAGAATGTAAAATGTAGAATTCTTGAACTTCTGTATTTTTAGTATCATTGTGCTCCCTTTCCATGTTCTCAATTTGGTACCCAACCTGATGATTGACTGAATCCTCACCCAAGTTCATATCACATAATTTACATTTCAAAACATTTAAGAGAATTAAAGACTTGTGGAAAGCAAAGCTGTGGATTTGTTAATGTCTATTAGTAACACACTCTTACATTGCCAGACAAAGGAGATCAAAGTTTAAAACAAAAGGGGAAAAAACCTTCAAAACTTAAATCTGAAAACTTTTTCAAACCACAAATCATTAACACGTGTTGACTTGAAAGTTTTATTTGCATTTACACTTTCAACACAGTATTTGCCAGCTAGTTCTTCCTTCATTTTTCAAATATGACCCAAGTTTGTGGCTGCACGTTTTCCTAGTTAACTGTCCTACTAACACCTACAGCCAAATTCAACTGGCAGGCATGTGCACAAGAAACTGATTTTTTTTTAAATCTATTCCTATCAAATGTAAACGTGTGAATGTTGAAGTTGCACAAACAACCCTCTCATCATGTTAATTATATAGCTATAGAAGATGCTTTACAAGGGAAAATTAACTTTAGCCACTGAAGGCAGTATTAGAGATGAAAATTTTGGTTTCAGGCAATCTCCCTGTCCCAGCTCAGCAGCACCACCTGGCAGGGGCAGAGGCACTGGGGGCAGTTCCCACCTGGAAGCTGCTCCCTTTTCCCAGCCCTATCCCTCAGTGTAAATGCTCCTAATCACAAACCCAGCATGGTTTGAATTCCCAGGAATACAAGTTTTCGAAGAGTGAGAACCTCAGTGCATGCACTTAGCTCAGGAATACTCTCTGCCCTGAATATGTTATTAGCTGGGTTTTCTTCCCTTTTGCAAGACAATGGCCTCATTTTTATCCTTTGCATTCTGTAATAAAAGCTTATTTTTTTTTTCATACTTTCTGAAAGAGCTTAACTGACTTCGGCACTTTGAGGATTTTATTAAAATCTGCACTAGAATTAAGTTTGCATTTCAGAATGGCAGAAACCCAGCAAACTAAACTACAGTAATTGTTTCTTAGTTTAGAGTCTATTTCCAGTGAACACTTTCTATTTGTACTGCAGCTTCACATTTTTAAGTGCTATCAGCAGTGTTTCACACCAAGATAAGAAAAAAATGAACGTGGCTGAAGAATACATCTGTGCTACCAGATTCTGCAAATTAAAGGAGGTTAGAGTTCAAATGAATGACAGTTTATTAAAAATGCCCTGGAGCATTCTTAATTCCAGATTGGATTCGGCTCAGTACAGCTCAGGCTAACATAATACTGCTCCAGTTTGTGGGAATGAGGAGGGGGAGGGACAATTGCATGTTTTCTCAGTTCAACATATTTCTGCAGGATGACGAAGAGCTGGCAACATTCCAGCAGTCAAGGTTAGTATGGTTAGTACTACTACCTTTAAAGGGTTGGAACTTCATTTTGGCAACAATATTGGTGATAAATACAAGAGTTTTGAATTTCCCTGACTTTTTCAAGCATCAGTAGCTACACAAGAATTTCATACCTATTTTATTTTAGAACCTAATCTTGTTTTAGCACACAGATCATTTATGAATTTTATGGAGTAAAAGGAAATAAAGAAATCCATCTATTTAAAGATTCTTTTACTTTAATATTAAAATATTAACCATTAAATTTTTAAAAGTTTAACAAACAATTACATTCATTCAATAAAGCTGGATGCATTTTGATAATAAGTCGTTCAGTGTAAGAATCCATCCAGTTGTTTTGAAAGGGTTGGGTTTTTTTCCATTTCCTAAGGAAATGCCTTTTTTTCTCTACACCAAGTTACACACTACATAAATCTCAGTTATCTCCAGCTCTGTGAAGATTATTTTAATAAAAATAATATTTGGGGGTTTTCCCCTTAGATTAAGCATGAGATTGTAAAAAAGGAAAGACTAATCCTCAAACTTTCTCTTTGTGGCTTTCCAACAATTTTATTCTGTCACTGGCCTAAGCGGACATAGAAAACACATTCACAGAGATGAGGGAAAACAGATAAAAGCTGGAATTTGTACACACCAAATATCCACCTACCAGCTCTTTTGACTCTCAGCCTTTGCCATGAACACATTGCCCATGCCTCACACAGTGAAGGTGAGTGCCAGGATGCTGTGCCAGCAGCTGCTGGCCATGCAGGGAACCACTTTATGTCATGGCTAATTCAATTATTCACCTACAGGAGGGCCAGCACCAGTCATGTGGACCTACTGCTTTTCAAACTGCCAGTGCTGTCCTGCAGGATGGTTTGTAAATACCTTGGTTCCTTTCTGTTTGTAACACAAATTTCCCCAGTATGCAACTGCCTCAACAGTTTCATTACAAAAGTGTTTTTCACAAAATAAACAGACATAGCAAAGTGTCATCCTGAGCTTTGCAAGACATGGAAATAAACTCTTTGTCACCCTCCCCTCTACTCTCTTCCCATCCCATTTGTCATCCATAGACAAATTCCTCACCTCTGACTTCCATCACAGTTCTTAAAGCCAGGAAACAGGTCTAACAAGACCAGGACAGTTCTGGAGGCTGATGCTCCTGAGCCTTGCCAAACAAAGAAATTAGACACATGCTGTATCTCACAACTTTGGAAATTGTCAGAGAAAGGTAACCATACTGTAGAATGCATAAAAGCTTTAAAATAAACATCATAAGTGAAGGATTTGACAGAATATTAAGCAGTATTTATAAACTCCAGGTTGGTTTTCCAACTCATAAAAGACTAGACACGTAGGGCCAGTGACATCAGCCAGCAATGCAGTGGCAGTCCAACACCAAGCACCAGAAACACTGCAGCAGCAGTCTCCAGGGC